TCAGTCATTCAGACCCTTGAGCTCTCACAGGGCAAATTGAAGAATGGCAGAGAGATCTCCTGGCCAACGTTCCTGCCTCAATACCACAAAAGAAAACTGGGTGTTTAGTCTTTATCGGAACTTGCTCTGTACAATTTGCCTGCTGCTGATTGGGTCACAATAGCAGTAAAATATGGACTATTGATTTTGTGAACTCCATCATGTACTTTTTAAAACCTGGGCCTGAATATTTATTTTGTTTGATTTGATTTATTACTGTCACATGTACCTAGGTCCAGTGAAAAGTTGTGTTTTGTGTGCAGTATAGGGGCAGATCGTACCGTACAAAGTGCATTAGGGGAATGGACTGACCAACTGACCACGCAGCTTAGTCAAACTTTGTGAAACCAATGTTGAATAAATGAAATTGTCTGAACTGAAATTAACATTTTAATCAAAAGACTTTGAAATTAGTCTATGGAGCCAGGTATGAAGAAACCCATTGGTTCCTATTTTGTTGTACACCTGTGTGAAATGTTTCAAATGTTGAAAATACACGACGTCACCCCCAATTATCAAACTCGGAAACAATGAACTCAGATGTAGAAATACACAAACAAGCTTGTACTTAAAGGATCTGCTTTTGGCAGAGTGGGGGTATGGAATTCTGACTGAAGAAATGGAGAAAGCTTTCTTCCTGTTACTCTGCCTCTTAAAGGACAAAGCACCCAATGGAGAGAGAAAGATCCATATGTCAAGTACTTAAGGAAATCTGAGATATTCATGACTGCTGAGAATACAAGACATACATAACACAACCATAGTCTCAGGTTAAAACCTTTATGTTTCAAGGTCACTCTGAGGGCTTTAAACTATATTTCTTTCATCCTTCTTTTATCCTTCTTAACTTTGTATGTCTGTGTGTATCCTTGACCTCATGATGTTATTACTTTTCTTGTGGTTCACAGATATTTTACTCATGCAAACTTTGTAATTGGCTTCTTAGTGATCTCCTAAATATTGGGTAATTGCATTTCTGTTAGAGAGAGGTGCTAAAAAGATCATAAATCTTTGTTGTAAAAGTTGAAAGAGGGAAGCCAATTCACTTCTCCTGTTCATAACAATTGGCATAACCACCACAGTGTTTCTAAAAAACAATTTGTTGGCCGTGTATGTGGTTGAGGGGGCCTGGGGATGTGGCAAACTATTGTATCCATGCAAGTTCATCCTTTAAGAGGGAAAAAATAGCTAAATAGCAAGACTGAAAGGCAAATTCGTGACTGTAGTCTTATCCACAGCTTTTGTCAGCTGCCTCAGTGTGGGTAATAGCCTCTCCATTGCCAAAATCCTAAATTACATCTTTTAGAATGATATGCTCATCTGAAAGAGAGAAATAACTGCTCATTAACGTCATCTTCTTCCCATGGTTGTACTGAATAGGAGGACAGCTGTTATTATCTCCGTGGGATCAAATTATCATTTTTTAGGTGAATGCTATGCAAAGAAGCACTGACACTACCACCCTTCAGCCCTCACCCTTACCCCCTCGCCACCTCCCCCTTGCCTCTCCCCTCCAAGTCTTTCAGCTGCATTTATTAAACTCCACCACAAGAGGAGCTTGTGTCAACAGGAGATGTCCAGGTACGTACAATAGATCATAGAATCCATACAGTGTGGAGACAGGCCATTCGGCCCAACAAGGTTCCAATACAAGTGGCATCCTTGCATCGTTAGAAGCACAAAAGTATCTTCTGGCGCTTCAGTTGAAACCACCAAACCTGCGGCTACACCCATCTGGCTATGAGTGGACCACAGGGTGGTTTGTAGATGGAAAGAGTGCTCACGGGCAAGTGGAGCAAACAGTATGTTCACACGCATCATTCACTTTGCTGCAAAGGGACTCTTACTTTATGGTGACTTATAAACATATGTTCAGCGGCTGACGTGTACTTAACTCCATCTACTTGGCGTGGTTCCACATCCCCTAGTGCACTTACCTTAAAGAAATCTATTAATCTTAGATCTGAAAATTTTTTAATAACCTCACTCTCCCACAGTCTTCACAGCTTTTAAGCACTGGGAAGATTTCCAGATTTTCAGCCCTCTTTGTTTTTTTTTCTCAGATATTCACTCTTGGGATATGGGAGTCACTGGCTGTGCCAATGTTTATTGCCCTTCCCCAGTTACCCTGGAGAAAGTGATGGTGAGCTATCTTCTTGTACAGCTGTGGTCCATGTGTTTGAAAAATGCTTCCCAATACCTGAACAGG